AGGAATGTGTGCAAGTAGAAAGAAAGGGTGGTAGGAATGAAGGAAGAATGGATGGTAGGAAGAAGGGAAATGTTGAGTGGAGGAAGTCAGGAGTACGTGAGACAGGGAAGTGGAGTGAAGAAAGGATGAAACCATATAAAGGAAATTGTACTCTAGAATAAAGGAATGTAGGAAGAAAGGCGTTAAGAAAGAAAGCACAAATGAATGAAGGCATGAAGGAAGGATAGACTGATTAAAGAAGTGAAGGATTGAAGAAAAGAAGTTGTGATGACAAAAAAGGAGATAGGATGAAGGAAGGATGGAAGGAAAAGATGGCTGAACAGAGTTCAAGCAAGAACGAAAGAAAGAAAGAAAGAAAGAAGGTCCCCATAAGTATCGTATAGGGGATTTTGTTGAAAGGCAGTACTAGCAGACTGAAATAGCTCTGAAGTGTCTATTATGTATTGTATGTCCCAGAGGAAATGACATAATTGATCAATCTCCACCATATTGCAGCCAGTGAACCACAGATGGTTTTTTTCCCCAATCCCAGAGTGCACCTGTGCTGCAGCGCTCTCACTGCTGATTCTCACCCTGCTCTAACAATTTAACTCTCTAAGAGCTGTTAGAGCAGGGAAACATTAAAATGGTGTCGTGACCCCCACCCCCAGATCTGGAATTATCCACCCTGTCGCACACAGGCCTGCAGGGAAATACCACGTTCACCTAGCATCGCTTTTACATCATATTCCCAGCATCGGCCATGTTGCCAAAGCAACCATGCAATTAGCCATTATGGGGGCATGGGGCAATAAAATCAGCCCCTGCAGCACCTATGGGGTGGATGTTATGTTGTTTATGATGGCCATTCCAATCGTCCTGCTAGCACACGCACACTGATGTCATCAACATCTGGGGTTGTTCAGGCTTCAAACCCGCGTGAATGTCAGGTTACATATACTTGTATACAGTCAGATTGATTAGTTTCCAAATTGGAGGGAGGGTTGGGGGGGGTGTTGGCTGGTACTGCAGGCATATGCAAAAATATTTACGAACTCCAAATAAAATTGTAAGTCATAATCATAATCATCATAAACTATAATCGAGCTAAAAGAGCTTTTCATTGCTTTTATTGCGCTTCTGTCCATGTTGATGGTTTAGCTGTAGCCTCGTATGAAACCCACGCTAATTAACTTGCTCCCTCGTTTTCCAGCTCTGAAACAGCTGTTCATTTTAAAATAACCAGTATGGAAACGATTTAGTTTCCCACTGCCTGTGGTTGGTTAAGACAACCTTGTGTGTGGTTTAAAATTAAATTGTACTCTGCAAGAAGATCCTATGAAGTAAATAATTAGATCTGTGAATAATCAATACATTCTTTTATTCATCACATGTAGTCAAAATAAATCGCAGAACTGAATACGCAGAACAACAGAAGCAGTGTAAAAGCCTTGGGGGCATGTTATTGTAGGGAAAATATGAATGTGGAGAGTGTGCTATGCTGCGGTGCAACACAAAGCAAAGTTTCTCTTATCACAACAAAGTATTGCTTTTATACCACAGCAAGTTGGCAACAGTGGAACATTTTTGGTTGTTAAATAAAGCCATGCTATAGTTTTTATTCTTCATTTTATAGTTATTTCATGTTGTGAAATATACACGTCTTGCTTTGTTACAGAGAAACTGCAAAGTGCAAACTCCCCTGTCCTTGAAGACTTTATTGTCTCTCAAAACTAAAAGTCACAGCTTTATCCCTAACTGTTATAAAGTGCTGACACTGGAGACTCCTTCCAAAAAAAAAAGTAAACACCTATTATACTATTAATCATGCGTGTCAGATTCAGATGCTGGATTTCTTATTAACAGGACCAATTCTGAAGCAATGTAGATCTGTAGATTTAGTTCGGTTCACAGCAATATAACACTCAAGATTCAACTCCGTAACTAAATCCTGTATCGCTGTTGTGCTGCAGAACCCCAGTTTGAGCCATCTCTTAAGGGGATTCTCCAGATTTTCCATCTTTCCTGTAGTTAGGAACCAGATGTGACGGCACAGCAGCCAATCATTTTTGTACAAATTGCTTAGTTTACCTTCCAGTGATTAGATATGAGAGCCAGATTTGAGTATTTCACAATCTGGAAAAATGCGTGCGGCATTTCTGTGTTGTTTCTTTTAATCTTTGTGTCTTTTTTTTTTTTTTTTTATTAATTTAAAATCAGGCCCTAAAGCCTAATTATCCTGTCATTACTGGACTAGTTATTCTGCTGATGGAATTTATTTAGTGTCTATTTAATTCAAACCTGTCAGGAGAGAAATCATTAGCCATTCCTCTGGCTTAATTGACACAATCAGGATCATGTGGAAATAAGCCTTGACCTTGCTTAATCAAGGCAAATTCACTTCATGGTGTCGAGCAATGTGTGTGATTAGTATGAGGAAAATATTCAAACTAACTTTTAGTTATTCATGAAATTTGCTGGAATGATAATATGAATTTGACCTCCATCGGCTCAGACTAAAGCAGCCTAACATACAGCTAGTAAATGACATTTACAGGCTGTATGTCAACAGACTGATATGCATGGTCCTTCCCCCATGGTCCTATCACCTGTGGTGGAGATGAAATTGATAAAACACAGCTGTTTGCTATTACAATACACTCACCAGTCACTTTAATAGACTTGTTTAATAATGCCGGTATCCCTACTCATTTATGCAACTATTCAATCAACCAATCACGTGGCACCAGAGCATTTTATAAAAATTATGCAGATACAGATCAAGAGCTTCGGTTAATGTTCATGTCAAACATCAGAATTTGACCGTGGCGTGGTTGTTGGTGCCAGATGCGCTGGTTTGAGTATTTCAGAAACTACTGATCTCTTGGGATTTTCGCACAAAGGAATCACAGGAGCCAGGCTGGTTTGAGTTGACGATGAGTCTATGGTAACTCGCATAACCACTCTTTACATCCATAGTGAGCAGAAAAGCATGTCAGAATGCACAGGGTGGGCACATCAGGCGTTAATCCTGTCTGCCAAGGACAGAAATCTAAAGCTTCATATTTTCCAAAACTGTCCAGTTCTAGTAGACGCTCTTGACATGTATCTGCATGATTTTATGCGCCGTTCAGCAGTCACATGATTGGCTGGTTGGACATTTACATAAATGAGCAGGTGTACAGGCATTCCTATTATAGCGGCTGGTGAGGGTATATGCCCACAACCAATTACAGAAGTGTCCAATTCTTGAGTGATTTCTGTCACTGGTGGTTGATCCTGGACTTTCAAATGAGGCTTTTATCATCAGTGTGTTGGCAGGACTGTAAGCTCATTAGAATGCCACGAGCACTGTTGGCATCCCAGTGGAATGGCTTAGCTGCCAGATTCTCCGTCCCTAGATACCAGGAGCCTCTGCAGTGGAGAGGAACTCTCCAATTCATGCCTGTTTTTCAGGTTGTGGCTTGGAGATCGTTTGTGATAAATGCAACCAGGATTAGAAATCCAAGAATCATGAAAGCTGAGCTAATACCCAACTGAGCTGGTTAAACCTACACCGGATTAGCTTCCTTTAAACAGCCAGTTAAATCAAACGGCTTATAAAGTTAGAAAGAAAGTTAACTAAATCTTAAACATCAATGTCAGGTTGGAAAGTAAGAAACTACACCATTGAAACACTGGAGACAGATGAGCATCCCTGGGCAACCTTATCCGGAATTTATAGGCAATGCTTAGGATAATGTGTAAGGGGCATAGCTAGCTAGCTAGGTAGCAAGATATCTGTGTGAATTAATGAGCCGATTAGCTTACGAACAAATCGAGCAAACTACTGAAACCCCAACAGCATTTGAGTAAGTTAGCTAGCCAGCTAACATTACATTTCTTTACATGTTGTTGATATTGGATGTGGTGTTCACTTAGTACAGCTTAGCCACTGATCAGCGTACAGTCCAACAACGCTAACAAATAAAGAAAAGCTAATATGGAGAGGGCTGCTAGTTCAACTTAGCCAAGCTAAAAGTTAGAGCTGTGGTTATAGAATGTACGGTGGTGTAGCGTAACATCAGCACGCAAGTTGTAATCATTTTAAACTCATACAAATCAGATACCTCCTGCCAATATGCTTAAAATAAGATGCGAAAATAAGATTAAACATGCTAACTGCTAACAAGAAGAGCTTGTTTGGTACTACAGGCTCTGTGGGCTCACAGCACACACACAAAGAAAAACTGTTGCAGAAATTTCTGAAGCTTGTCATTGTTTCAAAGGAAAAAAAACGTTGAGAACTGTCGAAATGACACGTTTTTTAAGGCATACGATCATCCATATGAGCTCTGTGTGAGGAAACTTTAGCAAGCAAATGTGGATTTGTGTTTTTATTATTTGTGGGCTGTTGAATAAACCAAGGAGTCTTAACCATAACCACAGCAGAACATCAGAATAAAAATAGTATACAGCATTACCGCTGAGAAACCATTCCGACATCATTATTAAGACAAGGTCATTATCGTATAACTTCTGCACATCCACTACACAACTTGTTGATAAAATGTTGTGTAGTGTTCAGCAATATCCCCGGCGGTATCCATGACAACCAAAAGTAACCTACATCCAAACCAGCTTAATGCCCTGTAGCAGCAGCATGAGATCTGCCCAACTTCAAATCTTCTAGGGGCACTTGCAGCTAATTCCCAACTGATCCGTTTGCCCCTCACTGTGAACGAACCAAGAGGGATTAAGGAACAAAATGTTTGAGGAGAGAGAGAGAAAGTGAGGGAGGGTTAATAAAAAAGGGGTAACATGGCCTCAGGTTAAAGTAGGTTAAGGGTTTTGTGGGCCCTCTGGAATTTGCCAGGGGTCCTTTGGTTTTATTTAAAGTCACAGTGTGTTTATATGTACATGATAATCCTAAGTCTCATTTCCCCATGTTATTCCATCAAGGCCATATTCAGGACACATTATAGCTACATCTTTTCAGTTCATAGTCAAATACTTTATTGAATTAATGAACTTAACTAGGGGGCAGAGTGGCTTAGTGGTTAGCAGATTTGCCTCACACTTTCACGGTTGGGGGTTCGAATCCCGCCTCTGCCCTGTGTGCGTAGAGTCTCCCTGTGCTTCAGGGGTTTCCTCCCCAAGTCCAAAGACATGTGTTGTAGGCTGATTATCATTTCTAAATGGTGTGTGAATGGGATTGTGCCCAAATCTCTTGTTTGCCCACCCTATTGATCAGAGTGACACTAGCCAATGTGTCGCTACACGACTAAAAGCATTCAGACAAAGCTAGAGTCCTATCAAAAAGGACTCTATAAAACAAAAGACGATCTGTTGGGTGTGACTCGTTGCTGCTCACTGTGCATTTTTCTCTGAAATAATTGTCTCATGCTGTATTTTTGGTACGAAAGGTGAATGCTATTAAAACAGAATGTTCTCATATTTACTGCTCGCTATAACACCATCCTACGATGCAACATGATGTGCTGCTGAACTAGTACAAGGGAACAATGGGTACATGGAAAACTCCTGTTTCCAAGTTACAGTTGCTAAGGTCGTTATTAGCACACGTATGTACACATGGACACACACACACGCACACATTCCTCCCAGCTTTGAGTGAGGAGTAGCACACACTTGCTAAAAGTCTGACTCGTGAATGCTATTTGAGCATAGCTGTGTTGGCATGCTGCAGTTTTTTGTTTTTCTTTCACTGTTTACTTTAGTTCTTATGACTTCGCTTTCAGTCTGCTGAGCATAAAATCACACTTCCTGCACAAAATGTCACTGGAACTAGTTGCCCAAGAATCTGCACAAGAATCTGTTTTAGAAAATTACCGGTGTATTTTTAACATATTTTTCTGTCTGGTTTGTCTGTTAAATATCACCCACCAGTCAGCTCTCTTCTACTATTCGACAGCTACCAACTAGCTAACAAAAATTTGATCCATTTATTATTATGGATTAGCACGAAAATACAGGGAGTGTTATTCGTCTAAACGTTCACTATCAAATGGTGTAACTCTAGAACATCCTTATGGCTTGGAGTCCTGTAAACGCATCTATTATAGAGAACTCTTCAGTAAGTACGTGACTCTTCCAGCCAGAATGGTTTCTATAGCATGTCGAGTTCAGCCTCCAATGTCGAAGCAGCCAATTCAGTGAAGACTCTCCAGACTATTGACTTCTTAATGTTTCCAAATGACAATGTTCATTAAGTATATTAGATTTGTTCCCTTTCTTCAGTGAGCATTTAGCAAAATTTTACAGTGCAGAAATGTGTGGCGGTCTGGGGAAACTCATCTCCAGCGTGGACTTGAAATGTGAAGGATCTGGAGAGATTCTGTATGGAGGAACGGTCTCAGATCCCTCGCCATGTATTCTCCAACCTCATCGGGTATTATAAGAGAAGACTCAGAGCTGTTATCTTGGCAAAGGAAGCTAGCACAAAGTACTGACTAAAAGGGTTCCAATACTTGTTGCACACCTATATTTAAACAAATACTTTTTCATATATATATAATCCTGATGTTTGTTTGCAATTGTTGGATATCCATGAGAGCGGAGTATTTTTGTGATTTTTTTTTTTGAACAAAAGATAATTTTAAACAATAAAGAAATTTCTCTGCTCATATTTAACAAAGGTGCCAATATTAGTGGAAGGCACTGTAGTTCCATCAATTTTAATTATTAAGAATCAAAACCAATCTGGGTAACAACAGCATAGGAATTATAAGCTACCAGTCTATGAATAAGTCTTACTGATTGATTGTGGGCTGTTAAATATTAACTTGAGATTATTATAGAAAATTTTTGTGACTTAATAACCATCATCTTATGTTGAAATAATGAGCTTTGAAGTCCAAATAACAACATGTTATGATTGCGACAATCGTATATAAAGATTTCTTTTTAACGTTTGGGAGTAAACATATTTTAAAAGGCTAGAATTTAACTTGTTGTGGAGATTCATGCAAAGAGAAACATATTTCAGTTCAGGAAAGTCGATGGTTTTCAGAATAGGACAACATGTCAATATATCACCATGTGAGTGGAGCTGGAAGATCCTAGCAACAGGATCCCAGCCTTCCAAACTGACAGGAATTTGCATCAACAAGAACACATAAAAGCAGGGACACACACACACACACACACACACACACACACCAGAACAGGGACATTAAGTCATGATTCCAGATTGGTAAAAGCGTCACTCCTTGATAGTCTTGGTTATTATGGAAAGAAGAAATGGAAATGAGTTTACATCATTTCCATAATTGTCTTCTAATTGCTGTAATTATTTAACAGTTACCTGTGGCAATAACACAGGCTGTACTCGGTTACATTTCCTGGCTAGGGCAACAACAACGAAAGAAAGCAGGCAAAAAAAAATAAATAAAATAGTGCAAAGAAATCAAAATTCTTTTGAAAAGTCTAATACAAAGTGCTGGAAGTGGAGCAGTGTGAATCAGTAGCTGGAGAGGGAAGAGACAGCAGAAGGCTATGATGCGAAACAGATGGTCCAGGACGCGTGAACCGCTGCAGGGTACGCTCGAATGCTCTGTTAAAACCAAAACCGAAGAGAGAGAGAGAGAGAAAGAGAGATCTATGATTTTCATAATTAGCTATGATCATAAATCCAAAAAGATGTTGAGAGAAAAAGAGATGGAGAAATAGGTCTTTCTAGCTTTCTCTAATGTCCAGAAGGCATATGGGCAAAACACATGATTCTCTAAAGCTTCCAAAGGGGCCTGTTTGATCCACATACAAGCCATCTAAAAAAAAATATCTACCCTAAGATGTGCGTCATATGCTACTGGAGGGAAAACTTTGCGTTTGTAGTCTTGCGAGACTCAGAGGGCCTGATCCAACTGAGCACACTTCAAACAAATGCACAAAGTATGGATTCCAGCAAAGAAGCACTCAGGTGTAACTGCAGCACCCACATACGCATGAAAGGTAACCCATGTGTAACGCTACATCACTCTCTAATGCTCTTCAGATAAAGCGTTTGATTTTGTTTCAGTGAAACGTTTCAAAGATGCTAAATCAAAGCTGTGTTTGCGCAACAAGTGTTCAGGAAGGCACAATAAGAACGCTAGAAGAGAGTCATGAAGAAATGGCATCACACACTCACTCTCCATCACCCTTTCCTCTATCAGTATGACACCCCCATCAGCTCGATATGTAAGCATCGTTCTTTTCACCATTTGACCTCTAATGTCTTTCCCCCTTTGGTCTTCCTACAGATAGACATGTATGCTGGAAATCAAAGTTGTCCACATTTGAGAAATGTATATGTTTGCTCACAACAACAGAAAGAAAGCCTGCAAATATTAAATGAGTAAACCGATCAGGCATGATCGGGAACCTTTAGGGGAGCCTGCCTAAGCCAGAGTTTCCTGCCCCCTCCTCGCACCTTCGCTCCATGTGGCAACCCAAACCCTTGCCCTCCACCTTCTCTGCTTTCCTCGCACATCCCCTTGCCATCCCCCTGCCAACCCGTGTCAGCCACCTGTCGAGCCACAGACACATGCCATTCCGGTTCTTACCGCCGCTTGCTGCGCTGCCAGTCCTGACCTCTTGGTGGACCCCTGTCTGGAGCTCAGCCTCTTCCAGGACTCAGAGAAGCGCCCCCTGCTGGTGGGGCGGCCCGGACCTTGCGCCTCTTCACGGGTGGTGTTCACCCTGAAGCCCTCTCTTCTCCCTTCCCACTTGCGCTTGGTCATGGCCCTGGATGGCGGGCTGCAGCTGGAACTGGATTCTGGAATCGTTCTGAAAAGCGAGCTTACACCTTTAACTGTTAATTCTTTCTCTATAACTGGCTTGGGGTGTTAGAGCATCCCGCTCTCGCTTCTTCTTCCTCTCCTCATTCCCCTCCTCTTCATGAGAAAGGGGACGGGGGGGGGGACGGGGGGGACGAGATGAGTTTGCCTCCCGCACCCTGTTGCATGTGCCAGTGCTGCCTCAGTTATCGTTTCAGTCAGAGAGATAGAGAGAGAAGGGAGCATATGAGAGAGAGGGAGAGTGAGTAAGTGTGTGTGTGTGTGTGTGTGTGTGTGAGAGAGAAAGACAGAGAGAGAGAGAGAGAGAAAGAGAGAGAGAGAGAGAGAAAGAGAGAGAGAGCTCTGGAAACTGTGTGTATGTTTGTTTGCAGGCTTGCCAGGTAGGTAAATTTCCTCTCGCCTCAGCCTCCCATTGGCTTCAAATTGAGCGGGCAAAGACAATCGCCACGTTTGAGCGAGTCACTCATGATCCAAGTCCAGCATCCCGCACTCTCTCTCCCCACACTCGTTTACTCTCTCTTCTTTCCCTCTCGCCTCTCCTTATCGCTCCATCGCTCACTCGGTATAGTTCTCAACCCGCTTATCGCCTTGTCATTCCTTCTTCGCATCCAAGGGTTGTTTAGAACAGATGCCGGAGGTTTCAGGAGGCAAAATGTTTCCTGTTCCAGAAGGTCTCTGCTGCTTTGTTTTCCCCACCGGTCTCCTTTCCTTCTCCCTGTGTCTCTGTTGCTTTTAATCGCCACAAGAATTTAATCCAACCGTTGACAAAGCCTAGCAAGGCTTTCCCTGCATTAAAAACCACTGGATACTGACTGAGTAAAAACTCTTAAGCACCCGAGTTAAGACCCTCAGTTGGGAGTTGCCGAAACAGAGGCCCTTCTAGCCAAGAAGTCTCTCTGTGTATTTACTGGTGAACACCTCTTCTATCGTCACATTTCATAGCTACGTAAGATGTTTTGAAGGCGTGTGATGTTGCCCAAAACTCGCCTTCCAGTTGCTATTATTACTGAGCAGGTCTCTCAAGACCTCACAGCACTACCTTTTGAAAACAGAGACAATTCACTCCACTGGGATTGGGGCTGTGGTCTCAGGTAGCAACAAGATGGAGAGGGAGGAGTGGGCTGGGGGGTTTTCCTCATCTCTCACTGAGGATGATACACACTCATATGTTTTGTCAGCTGGGGAAAAAGATTACAGTTGCCAAATAAAAAGATATTTGAACCTTAATGGAAAAAGAAATTGTCGAGAACAAAAACAAAAACAATCTTAAAGTCTGAACTAATTAATGCCCACTATTGGAACAGGACGGTCTAG